CCAGGCCACAGCAGAGAGCTGGAGCAAAAGTGAAGCAGCTGGGACTTGAACTGGCGCACATATGGGATGCTGGCGCCGCAGGTAGAGGCTTAACCTATTATGCCACGGTGCCAGCCCCCCATTCGTTACCTTTTTAAATACTTTTTTAAAAATAAAATTTATTATTTCTTTGAAAAGCAGTGTTGTTAGAGAGAAGGAGATCTTCCATCTACTGGTTTGCTCCCAAAATGGCTGCAACACGCCAGGCTTGGCCAGGCTGAAGCCAGGAGCTTCATCTGGGTCTCCAGTGGAGGAGGCAGGAGCACAAGTACGTGGGCCATCTTCTGCTGCCTTCCCAGGCACTTTAGGAGGGAGCTGAATTGTAAGTGGAGCAGCTGGGACTCACACTGGCACTCAGGGTGCTAGGAGACATTCTAGGGGTTGCTTAGCCCACTTGGCCACAGTGCTGGTGCTGGGGTTCACTGTCTACTAAAATGTTTTCCACTTGAGTGCCTTCTGCTTGGGGAAACATGGGGGTACTCTGCTGCCCATGGCCTCCCACCTGAGTGATTCTTTAACATTTCCCATCCTTTAAGACCTTGTTCAGTTTCCTGTAAAACATGTTTTCCAATTACTTTAGTCCAGTCTGATTCCTCTTTTCTCTAAACTTCTGTCCTTTCTGGTCAGCTTTTTGCATTTGTGTATGTTGATGTGTTTTCCTAGTTCAATAGTAGGCTTAAGGGCGAAGTCTGCTAGACAGTTAGCTACCCCTTGGGTGTGTAGAACAGTTGGAATGCAGTGCGTCTGACGGCGTGCCTCTGGGAACTCCTGTGGTGTATGTGTATTCCGTGAACTGACCTGTTAGTGGCCGTGGTGGGACCAGCCGCAGTTTGTTCTCTCACGGAGTGAGAGGCCCTCATGGGCTGTTAGTGTTTCTGGGCCTCCCCTTCTCTCCTCGGTCCAAGTTGCTAATCTTACTGTGTGGTCTCCATTGGGTCCTGTAGCCTTGTGCACGGCCTTCAGTCTTTCTCTCTGAGTCTTGCCTGATTTGTGACTTTTCAGTCTTCAGAGAACAAGTCAGGTCTCTTTGATGGACTTGGAAATCATTTCCTGGTACTTCCTGAAACCAGAGAGGTCTTGGAAGGGAACAGGAGGCTTTCTGGATTGCCTTTGCTCTCAGAGTCAAGCAAGGTTCCTGGGGTCTCTCCTGCCTGCTAGTCTCCACCCTCACTCACAGAAAAGATTGCTGTCTGAAGCTTGTGGGGGAGTTGGATTAACAAATATCTTTCTTTTGAAAAAATTTATTTTTTGAAAGGCAGAGTTACAGATTGGGGGAAGAGGTGGGGAGAAGGGGGAGGAGGGGAGGAGCGGGGGAGAGGGGAGAAAAAGGGGCGGGAGAGAGGGAGAGGGAAAGGGGAGGTGGGAGAGAGGGAGGGAGAGTCTTCATCTACTGATTCATGCCCCAAATGGCTGTAATGGTCAGGGCAGGGCCAGACTGAATCCAGGGTCCTGGAGCTTCCTCTTGGTCTCCCATGTGGGTGCAGGGGCCCATGTGCATGGGCCAGCTTCCACTGCTTTCCCAGGTGCACCAGCAGGGAGCTGAATGGGTAGCGGAGCAGTGGGGACACAACCGGGCACCCACTTGGCTTGCTGGCACCACAGGCAGCAGCTTTACCTGCTGTGCCGCAGGGCCCGCCCCTGTTGGCTTTGTTTTTGCTCTGTTGATCTGATCAGGTGCTCCTTCAGCCTGTAGACAAGATGGATTACATCAGCTGATGCCTGAGCCCTGGTCCAGCCTTGCATACCTGCGACAAACCATGTTGGGTTCTGGTACGACTTTTTTATACACTGTTGGGCTTAACTTGCTGGTGTTCTGTTAAGGTCACGGGAGACGCTGCTGTGTATTCTTTTTTTGTAATGTCTTTGCTTTTGGTATCAGCTGTTGCCTGATAGGATAAGTTAGGAAGTATTCTGGTGGCTTCTATTTGGAGAGACTGTGGAAAATCAATATAACATCCCAAAATCAATGGTAGGTTTTACCAATGAACCCATCTGGGCCTGATTTTTTTTTTTTTTTTTTTGGTGGTGGAAGGTTATTAATGATTCAGTTTGTTAAATAAATTATCTCTTTAACCTTGTGAGTTTTATTAGATTACCGTCTTTTAAGGAATTCATCTATTTTACCTAAGTTATCAGGTTTGTGGGCACATTAAAATCCTTTTAATGGAGGCTGGTGCTGTGGCGTAGTGGGCTGAGTCTGTGCCTTTGGCACTGGCATCCCATATGGGTGCTGGTTCTAGTCCCGGCTGCTCCATTTCTGATCCAGCTCCCTGCTGATGTGCCTGGGGAAGCAGTGGAGATGGCCCAAGTGCTTGGGCCCCTGCACCCACGTGGGAGACCTGGAAGGAAGCTTCTGGCTTTGGATCAGCCCAGTTCCGGCCGTTGCAGCCATGTAGAGTGAATCAGCGGATGGAAGACCTTTCTCTCCCCTTCTCCGTAACTCTACCTCTCAAATAAATTAGTAAAATCTTAAGAAAATCCATTTAATGTTCCTCAGTTCAGTAGTGATGGCCCCCTTCAGGTCTGATGTTTGTAACTGGTGTCTTCTCTGTCTTTATTACCCTTGCAAAAAGTATATCAATTCCATTGTTTTTTTTTCCCCAAATAATCAGCTTTTTTTTTGTTTATTGTATCGATTTTCCTTACTCAGTTTCACTGGTCTGTCCTTGAGTTTTGCTAACTTCCTCTGCTTGCTTTGAATTTTAAAGTTAAAACCAGTGTGCCTGAACTGCTGTAACTGAAGCTGTGTCCTTTGAACAGTGTCTTTGAAGAATGTGCCCTGGATTTACTTTGTCTTCCTTTCTTTTTTTTATGTTATTTGAACGGCAGAGTGATCGAGGGAGAGAGAGAGAGATCTCATCCACTGTTTCACTCCCTGGATGGTTGCGGAAGCCAGTCCCAGAACCTCCATGTTGGTTTCTCCCTGAGGGTTAGAGGCCCAAACACTTGGCTGTCTTCCCTTGCTTTCTCCGGCACATCAGCACGGTGCCGGTTTGGCAGCTGAGCAGCCAGGACTAGAACCAGCATCCAAATAGGGTGAGATTGCCACGGCTTAGCCCGTTATGCCACAGTGCTGGCCTCCATGTTTCATTTTTCGTTTTTTTGATTTTTGGAAATCTGTCCGTCTGCTTCTGATTTTGCATGTTGTCTATTTTTTTTATTAGAGCTCTAGCATATTAATTGTATTTTTTAAAAATTCCTTGTCTGAAAGTTCCGACATCTCTGCTTAATGTAAAGTTGGTTCTGATGTTTTCTCTCTTCAAGTTGTGTTTGTCTTTTGCATGCTTTTTAATTAAAGCTGGATGTGGGATGGTGAGTTTCTCTTTGTGCTGTGTAAGCAAGTTTCCTTGTGCCCTTTGACATCATGTAATGCTGCCTTGACATCTTGGCTCAGTTTGTGTCATCTTAGAATTTTTTTTCCATGTATTACATTCTGAATACTGAGTTTGGTTTCTCCCTCCCTCCCTCCCTTCCTTCCTTCCTTTCATATTTATTTATTTATTTGCAAGTCAGGGTTATACAGAGAGAGGAAAGGCAGAGAAAGAGAGAGGTCCTCCATCTGATGGTTCACTTTCCAATTGGCCGCAATGGCCGGAGCTGCACCAATCCGAATCCAGGAGCCAGGATCCTCTTCCAGGTCTCCCATGCAGGTGCAGGGGCCCAAGGACCTGGGCCATCTTCTACTGCTTTCCCAGGCCACGGCAGAGAGCTGGATGGGAAGTGGAGCAGCCAGGACTAGAACCAGTGCCCATATGGGATGCCGGCGCTTCAGGCCAGGGTGTTAACCCGCTGTACCACAGCGCCGGCCCCTTCGCTGTTTGTTTATAGGTCTGCTCATTATGGATCATATCCTGGACATTGTGAATGAGACTTGTAGTGTCTGGTTTCTGTTGCGTTCCTCCGGAGTGTTGATTTTTACGGTTTCATTTGAGCAGTTAAGTTGATTAGATTCAAACTGCAGACTCTGCCTTGCAGCACTTAACCTCACTGTGTGTAGTCTGGGTGTGCATGCATAACTCAGTGATGAGCCGGAGAGTTCTGTGGAGCGTATGGAGGTCAGGGGCTCCCTTCCCCTGGGCTTTCTCCTCAGTATTGCCCTGTTTGCTACCTGGGGTTCCAGACTCCATCTTCTGATACTTTGAGCTGACACAATTGGTTGTTCTTAATTTCTGTTTTCATTTTATTTGAAAGACACCTACCTCTTCCATCTTCTGGTTCCACTCCCCAAATGTCAGTAACAGTGTGGGCCAAGTCAAAGCCAGGAGCTGGAAACTGGGTGAGTCTCCCACGTAGGTGGCAGGGACTCAAGCACTTGGGCCATCATCTCCTGCCTCCCAGGGTGCGCAGAGCTGAGAGCTGGATCTGAAGCAGTGGGGTCAGTGCCCAAACCTGGGCTCTGGTTAGAGATGGGGGTCCCAGGCAGCGTCTGTGCTGCTGCTCCAAGTGCTTTTGCCAAGACTGTGGGTTTCTTTGTTTTCTTTTTGTAATTTTTTTTTTTTTTAGATTTATTTGTTTGAAAGTCCTTTTATCTCCTGTTTCTGATCTTGAAGGAGATGGTAGGCTTAAAATGAAGAAAGTTAATTGATGGAGTGGTCCGGATTGGGAAAAGGGGAGATGGGGCCCGATTGGAGGAAAATAGAATACTAGTGGCTAGAGTCTGTATGTTCCTTTGTCAAAGTGCCAGTGACGTTGATGTTTGAACACATTTGGACAACACCGCTGGACATGGGGGAACGTTATAGAGTGATGGGCTGGGCAGGGGGTCTGTTCAGGCAATGTAGGGTATTGAGTAGTGAGATTCGCCTGAGGTGTGGAGATGCACAGTGACAAGCAGTCTGCTTTTTAGTTCTCGCTTATATTTGTGTTGTGGGTTCGAGGTCCTGAGAGGATGGGGGAGTTAAGGTGGAGTATCTGTAGGCTGTTGCAGTTGGTGACTTCAGTAATGGAACTTTGTTCTGCAGCTCTTGGATAAGCACAAGAACACAGAGAGCATGGTGGAGCTTCTGGACCTGTACCAGAGGGAAGACGAGGCCTACAGCAGCCTTGCGGAAGCCACGACCGAACTCTATCAGTATTTACTGCAGCCGTTCCGAGACATGAGAGAGCTGGCCATGCTGAGAAGACAGCAGATCAAGGTATTCTCTTCTGTCAGCCCGAGTGGGAGCCTGTTTCCCAGTGCCCAGCCCAGCCACACACACACACGCTGTACATCTGTGTGTAGATGCACACCTCGTTTCTGTCCCTCAAGGCTGAAGGCCAGGGGAGCATCTCATTTGAATGCATCTCACACGCTGGTCTGCCGAGTGCCGGGCTCGAGAGCAGCCCTCGCAGACAACACTGTGTGCAGCGCCAGGTGGTGACTGCACTGGGTGGCCTCCGCCTCCCTCTTCCTGCGCTGGCCGCCTCGGCTGCTGTCTCCCTTCCGGTGTCTGCCTGCTCTGTGGTCCAGAGTTCCTCATCAGGAGGCTTGGGAGCATTTCTTTGGCAAGGATTTGTTCTGAAGGGTGGAGTGACTGGAGGGTACAGCTTTAAATGTGTAACATGCAGTTTTGTTGAAGCAGTATGTGTCCCATTTGCTCAGGCAAGTGTTTAAGGGTTGGATTTTATAGCTGACCTCAAATTATGGAAGTGTTGTTGAACTAGGACATTAAGATGGTTTTTCCTGATGGAGTCAGTTGGGACCCTGTTGTGTGAGACTGCGTATTCGAGACAGTCGGCAGGTGCCCTGAGGGGGTAGGGGTGGCTCTGTGAGAAGGGAACCTGCCCTGGAATCTCCTCTTCCCTTGACAGATAGCACAGTCCTGTGATGGATACCCTGTCAGGTGTCTATTTTGAAGAATTTTGTATTATCATAAACTTGGCACTTAGGTTCAAATGGTAACATGCACTGTGAGTTTTCATACACCGGAGGTTGCTCAGTTTTAAGAAGTGGGCTAAATGGATGCTTATCTGTTGAACAGGACTGGAGGGCCATGCCCCGCAGCCGTGGCCTCCACAGCGTGGTGCACCTGGCTTTCAGGCTGTGCTGTCCACCAGCAGCACTGACTACTCTGGTTCTCCTGGGAAGCAGCTGGGGGTGAGGAGGAACAGGCACCGTATTTTCAGCACCTGTAACATGACCTGCACTTCATTCTCCAAGGCGTGTCCCTCGAATGCCCCTCCAACCATGACTACACTGAGGAACTTTCCCATACAAATACGTGTTCATAAACAGCCAGATTCAGCCAGCCAGCTGAGAGTAAGAGGTGTGCCATTAAGAGGAGTTAAGTCATTCACCTCCTAGCAACACTGTGATTAAAAGCTCTTATCTCTGCTTCTGAGATAAGAAGTGAATATTGGGATAGTCTGTGTCCTTGTCCACAGCTAGGTAGGAAGTAGTGGAACAGGCACCGTACTGATTCAGCATCTGATTCTAAAGACACTCTCCTACCCCCAGTTATGGGTTACTTGTTACCTTTAAATTGGAAAATTCACACTCGTAGAAAAAATCTGTAATTGACTTGGTAAAGTATATGATTTAGATAGAAGTAAAAATGTTACGTATTTTTGTGTGATAGTGCTGTGTGGATGTTCTTCTGAAGATGAATTTACAGTCAGCTAATGCTGACTTGGAATCTTGGCCTTCATGTCATGTGTAGAATGTATTTGTTTTACTCAGGTTAACTATTTCAATAAAGATACCTTTCTGGTGCAAACTTGCAAATTAACCCCTTCTTAATCTAGTAAGATCTGTTTAGTAACTTGAGATAGCAAGATACAGAATCATTGCCTAAAATAAAATAGACCAAGAAACCTGTTTCGGGGACTGTCACAGTGGGTAAAGCCGCTGCCTGTAACGCTGGCATTCCACATTGGCGCTAGTTTGTGTCCCGGGCACTCCACTTCCAATCCAGATCCCTGCTAATGGCCTAGGAAAAGCAACAGAAGGTGGCCCAAGTGTTTGGGCCCCTGCCACCCATGTGGGAGGCTTGGAAGAAGCTCCTGGCTCCTGGCTTGGGTCTGGCTCAGACCTGACCATTGCAGTCATCTGGGGAGTGAACGAGCATATGGAAGACCTCTTTTTCTTTCTCTCCCCCTCTCTCTGTAACTCTTTCAAGTAAATAAATAAGTTTAATATATATATATATATATATCAATATTATATCTCTAGATTCTACAGATAATAAATGGGTAGTAAGAGAATAAAAGTTAATAAATTCTGCAACTTAGGTGAAATGGACAGAGTTTCAAAATGAATTTAGGAAATATCTGTTGGGGCCAGCGCTGTGGCGTAGCGGGTTAATGCCCTGGCCTGAAGTGCCAGCATCCCATATGGACCCCAGTTCGAGACTTGGCTGCTCCACTTCCAATCCAGCTCTCTGCTAATGGTTTGGGAAAAGCAGTAGAAGATGGCCCAAGTCCTTGGGCCCCTGCACTTGCATGGGAGACCCAGAAGAAGCTCCTGGCTCCTGGCTTCGGATAGGCGCAGCTCCAGCCATTGCGGCCATCGGGGGAGTGAACCATCAATGCAGGACCCCTCCCTCCCTCCCTCCCTCCCTCCCTCCCTCTCTCTCTCTCTCTCTCTCTCTCCCTCTCTCTCTCCCCCTCTCCCCCTCTCTCCCTCTCCCCCTCTCCCCCTCTCCTCTCTCTGTGTAACTCTGACTTTCAAATAAATAAATCTTAAAAAAAAAAGAAATAAATCTTAAAAAAAAGAAATATCTATTAACTGAATTGAATTAATAATTTAAAATCTTGTCACAAAACTCCAGATTGAGATGACATCATTGGAAGACTATAAATCATTTAATTGAAAAGTTTAATCTTATTCATTCTTTCAGGGGATAAAAGATGAGAATACTTTTTTTTTTTTTTTATTTGATAGGTGGAGATACAGACAGTGAGAGAGAGAAAGGTCTTCCTTCTGTTGGTTCACCCCCCAAATGGCCACTACAGCTAGCGTGCTGCGTTGATCCGAAGCCAGGAGCAAGGTGCTTCCTCCTGGTCTCCCATGCGGGTTCAGGGCCCAAGCACTTGGGCCATCTTCCACTGTACTCCCGGACCACAGCAGAGAGCTGGACTGGAAGAGGGGCAACCGGACAGAATCCGGTGCCCATATGAGATGCCGGCGCCGCAGGCGGAGGATTAGCCAAGTGAGCCACAGTGCCAGCCCCAGAGAATACTTTTTTTTTTTTTTTTTTTTTGACAGGCAGAGTTAGACAGTGAGAGAGAGAGACAGAGAGAAAGGTCTTCCTTTGCCGTTGGTTCACCCTTCAATGGCCACTGCGGCTGGCGCGCTGAGGCCAGCGCATCGCACTGATCTGAAGCCAGGAGCCAGGTGCTTCTCCTGGTCTCCCATGGGGTGCAGGGCCCAAGCACTTGGGCCATCCTCCACTGCACTCCCGGGCCACAGCAGAGAGCTGACCTGGAAGAGGGGCAACCGGGACAGAATCCGGCGCCCCGACCGGGACTAGAACCCGGTGTGCTGGCGCCGCAAGGCGGAGGATTAGCTTAGTGAGCCGCGGCGCTGGCGAGAATACTTTCTATCTCACTTATGAGGCTAGCATTTATCCAGATACCAAAATAAAATGAAGACATTAAAGAAAAAACAGTACTAAAGTATCTCATCATAAAAATTTTACTTTAACCCTTTAAGAAATACAAGTAAATTGGATCCGGCCGGCGCCGCAGCTCACTTAGCTAATCCTCCACCTGTGGCGCCGGCACCCTGAGTTCTAGTCCTGGTTGGGGCGCCGGATTCTGTCCTGGTTGCTCCTCTTCCAATCCAGCTCTCTGCTGTGGCCTGGGAAGGCAGTGGAGGATGGCCCAGGTCCTTGGGCCCTGCACCCGTATGGGAGACCGGGAGGAGGCACCTGGCTCCTGGCTTTGGATCAGAGCAGTGTGCCAGCCACAGTGTGCCAGCCGCGGTGGCCATTTAGGGGGTGAACCAACAGAAAAGGAAGACCTTTCTCTCTGTCTCTCACTGTCTAACTCTGCCTGTCAAAAAAAAAAAAAAAAAAAAAAAAGTAAATTGGATGCACCAATGTACAAAAAGGGTGACATGCTGTGATCAAGTGAGGCGTATCTCAGATGGAAGGTTAGTGAAATAAATAAACCAGTGTGATTCACTACTATCAGAACGATCAGAATAAAGTTTGAGTGGGCACAGTATATTATTTTTCAGAGATAGAAAAGCATTTAACAAAGTTTAATACTTTTCTGTGATGAAAACTCTGAATAAGCCAGGGAGAAGGAGAGAAGGACACATGTGGAAAACTCAGTGTTGTACTTTTTCCATAAGACTGAGAACCAAGCAGGCTTGTCTGCCCAAGTGCCTAACCAGTTCAGTGAGATACTAAAAGCAAAGGAAAGGGTACATGCATTAGAAATGATGTGGTGTGAAGTTAGACTTATTTGTAACTCCTGTAATTGTCTATGTAGAAGATCCCAAAGAAGCTAGTAGAAGTAATATCACAGTTGTGTAGGGGCCAGCACTGTGGTGTGGTGGGCTAGCCTCCCCCTGCAGTACTGGCATCCCTTTTGGGCACCTGCTTGAGTCCCAGATGCTCCACTTTAGATCCCTGCTAATGGCCTGTGTGAAGCAGCAGCAGATGGCCCAAGTGGTTGGGCCCCTGTACCTGCTTGGGAGACCCAGAAGAAGCTTGGGCCACCTGTTGGAGCCATTTGGGGAGTGAACCAGCAGCTGAAACCTCTGTCTTTGTCTCTCCCTCTCTGTGTCTATAACTCTGCCTCTCAAGTAAATAAATACATCTTTTAAGAAAAAAGTTTATTGTAATCTTGGGATACAAAGTGAATATTAGAAATTGTTACATTTTTATTTTCTAGGTACAAACAACCAAAAATTGGAATTAAAAAAATATCATTTATATCATCTTATTCATGGATTATTAAAGGGAAAATTTTGAAAAATATACGGAAGTCTTGGGTATTAAAAACTATAAAAGTTTGGTAAGAGAAATGGTTGCACAGAGAAGTGCCTCACACTAGATTGGAGACTCCATACATTGACTTGAAAATCCAGCAGGGCCTTTAAGCTGATTTTATTCTTAATTTTTAAATCAAATTAGAATGGTGTCTGTTTTCCAGATAGACCGTGTTTTGGAATGTGTGCATTATGGAATGGCTGAGTTGAGCTACT